TTGAAATAAATGCTTTGGCTTTGACTTTAAAAAACGTAAGGAAATAAATTTTTATTTACTGTACCTTAACAGTTACAACAATCAACTACTCAAGGCTGATGTTTCATGAATAACACAAAAACAAAAACCATTAAAATTGTAAAAAAAAATTTTTGCCTCCGTTTTTCAGAAGTTTTCCGATTATAGCCTGTTAGTAATTTTAATAGAGACATAAAAATGTTAGCATTCAAATTAAACTGTATCCTACGCTGAGGTTCGGATCCACGTTCAATTCATTAATTTTCTTCATAATAGTTCACTAACTAAATGATTAAAATACATTATACTTAACACGATAAAATCTTATCAAAAACAATATGACATTTGACATGTTCTTTTCAAAGTTGAAAGGTATTTTTATAGTTTTCCATCTACCTACTACCGTCACCTTTAAATACCAAAAGGTGAAATTCGCTACAACTTCGATACAACCAATTACATTAGTGTATCTATCAAATTTTCACACAAATCAAACCCACGCTTGACTGCCTGATAAATGTAGGGAATCAAACTAAATCATTCATTTACGTAGATACGTCTTAACACATAGAAATGATACTGTGAATTTATGTAAAAGTTTATTTTCAAAACTGCTTTAATTTATGGTTTTGAGACATGATTTCACCACCTCTATTATCTATTACAAGAAATTCTTATTCATATTACTATAACATTAATTAAAATTAATGGCTAAATGTGTTGTTAAGCGCAAAATTCGAGATGAACTATGAATCACTAATCTAATTATGACTATTAAATGGTACATTCGTATCGCCAAATTAGTAACTTACATGGTAACTATGACGTTTTTTTTTTTCAAAATCTGGTCCGACTGAAAGGTCGAATTGCAACACAGTCATAGATAAGTACTAACATTTGTCAGCTGTTAATTCCAGTTCATAAACTCTCAACATGACAAATAAAAGTTATGAATATATTATTATTGTTGTATACATTTCTGGGTTTCCGCGAAAATAGCTATTTTTCAAACGAGTAACTTCCCTACTCGTTATCCCTAAGTACCGGTTAAAACATTGTCTCTACGACTGTAATAAAAACGATTTAATGAATTCCTCCAAATAGCTTTTAAGCACGACTTTTTCCACAGAATGTAAACTATAAAATTCAACTCCCTACTGTTTACGACAATAAAGGAAAGCGTCGAACTTTTGAAGTTTTAATTCTATTAGTCTTGGACTCAATGGCTTAAAAGGTAGTAGTTGTTATTTTAACACTTTGTATCCACTTAATACAGTTTTAACGACACCATTAAGACTAAACAAGATACAAAAATACAAAACGTATCTCTCAGGTGCATCAGTAAATTTCTTTACGATGTACATTTTTTTGACGAAATATTACTATCCTATTCATATTATGTGAATTTCTTACTGGTGAAAAGTCCCATCACATTTGATATGCTATCCTAATCTCTACTTTACTTTGTCTTTTTTTATATTAGGTACCATAGTTTTATATCACCCATCAAAATTATATTAAGTTCTTGTTGTTAAAATTTATAAATTAGTCGACCATCCATAGATTGATTTTGACAAAAGCAAGCAGCCAGTTTGTTTAAAGCATAAAATAATAATATAACCTAGTTTGTTCAGTTATAACAGTTAATTTTATTTAGCAATAAACTATTTTCTGTGTAAATACTGTTTCTCAGGCCATCTGTTTCAATAAAATACAAATTATATCAACGCCGCTACCGACTCATCTCCTTTGAGGGCTGTTGATCCGTTTCCTATTATTTCTCTGAATATTCTGCGTGATAAGATTTACTAGAACATTGTAATATCTTCAGATCTCCGTCGATGAAGATTGGAAGTAATTATTGCGTATTTTGTTTCTCTACTGTTTTATTAAAGACAACGTAGATAGTTCTGTTTTTATATGTTTTTATATCTATCTCTGAAATACAATATTATTTTGATAAAACATTCTAGTAAAATTCATTACGAAAAACATTTAGTAAAATAATGGGAAACGACAAATCAAGAGCAACTGGAAAGTTAAGAGGCAAACAGTCCAATTAAAATCCTTCTTTATAGAAATCATTTCAAAATTGTCTTGTAAAAACACAGGTAACTAAATCATTTGGATTTTTTTTATATTAGATGGGACTGACCTTTGACTTCTATCTCGCCTGGTGGTAAACGATGCTGTGGCCTACGATGGAGCACGTCAAGCCATTAGCAACCTATTCACTCGGGCCTTGAAGACACCCAGGTTTCCCTTCAGGAAAAACAGACTTTGGCAAAGAAAACCACTCCTTAGCAGTACGCACAAGGAAGCTTGATGCGAAGCGCTTCGTGCGTGTGGGTGGAACATCTACCATGATCGGTAACGCTTCGCCGATTGTCTTGTGGTACGATGATGGAAAGGACTAAGGGGAATCAAGTTGTGCAATTCCCTCGCACACTCACTGAAATGTATCCGGTAATATGAAATGATCAATATTCTGGATTAATTTATATGTAAACAAGTCATTATTAATATTATTATGTGCAGTGTACATATAGAAACGTACACAAATTATTATTATTATAACAAAATTACTGCACCTACTGTACCACTGCCCTAACTATTACCTCTTTTAAGTATAATGTTACCTCACTTTTTCCTTATCTAATGCATCCTTATTAACTACTACCATGAGTAGGTTCTAGCATACTTATCGAGCTGTAAGCTCAATTTATCTCATTGGAAATCCTCGCGAACTGGACGTAAGATTTCCAGGAACAGAGTAAAGTCACGTCTTGCACTAACTTGCTTTCGACCGCTTTTCTTGCACCTATAATTTTGAAACAAGTGTTGTCCAAGTCTTAAGGCATTTTCTTCCATGAATCGAGATATCTTGAGGTTACAATCGTTTCGTGTTCTAAGTACTTAGTCAATTTAGAAAGTAGTTAATGAAACCTAGGTTTATGATGAAAATGTGCATCTCTTTTTAAGGCTTCTAAAATAAAACTGTTAGGTACTCATTATATTTTTACCTAAAATATTTTTTATGGAGTAAGACGGTAAACGAGCAGACGGATCACCTGATGGTAAGCATCGCCCATGGACACCTGTAACACCACAGATGTTAAAAGTGCGTTACCGGCCCTTTTGCGTTTAGGAATTTTAGAGATTCATAGATTGAGAAAGGGGGGGAGGCTAATCGGGCCCCTGGTAACCTCACTCACGCGACTAAGCACAACGCAAGCGTTGTTTCACGTCATCTTCTGTTAGGCCGTGGTATCACTCCGGTCGAGCCGGCCCATTCGTGTCGAAGCATGGCTCTCCCACACTATTATCTTGGTATTTGAATTTAATAAATAAAATAAACGTTTACTATTTTTTCAATGATAAAATAAAACCGCTAGAAACAAAACAGAGACAAAATAAACGCTAGATCAAACAATATTATTGCTTCTTTCTATCTTCAAAGTTTACGTTTTAGATAACTTGTGTCGTCACGAAAATAAATTGTCGAACACATTTCCACAATCGACTTACGCGTTTGAATGACAAATTCGTAAGCTCTGTTTTCATTCCATTCAGGGATCAGTATGGTAATATAAGTAAACATGGGTACAAAAATAAATAACAACAGTGTAAGGCGCTAAGTACATATGTAGTCATGTGGCTGAAATATTCTTTGTAGCTCCGAATGTCGAGAACACACGAACAATATATTTGTGGGTTACGATGCTTTAATTTACTTCTTTTGTTTATCAGCTCTAGACTTTTTCCTGTATCGTATATAGACATTTACATACACGTGTACACATATATGTATGTACATTAGAAAACACCTGTAGATCATACAAACAATTCATCAACAACTTATAAATGCCCACTGCTGAGCAAAACCTCTTCTCACACAGAGAAGGTTTGAGCATTGATCACCACTCTTGCTCAATGCGGGTTGAAGATTACAAACTTATAATTAGAAATTATAAGCCCAGGTTTCCTCACGATGTTTTCCTTCACCGTTTGTCAGTGGCGTCTAAATAATCTTAGAAAATACATATAACTCGGAAAAAGTCACATTGGTGGTTTGAGCATTGATCACCACACTTGCTCAATGCGGGTTGACGATTACAAACTTATAATTAGAAATTATAAGCTCAGGTTTCCTCACGATGTTTTCCTTCACCGTTTGTCAGTGGTGTCTAGATAATCTTAGAAAGTACGTAATAACTCGGAAAGAGTCACATTGGTACTTGCCGTTGGTAGGTTTCGAACCCGCACCCTCATGCATGAGAAGCGGGCGTCTTAAAACTCCGGGCCACCACGACATTCACACATACAAACAATTGACGTGTAGCAATGAAAGCTGTTGATTTTGCGCTCGCGAGAAGACGCTAGTGATACGATTAGTCAGATTAGTCCAATCAGTTATCGGTTTAATTGTCACAAGTTGTTAAACGATATTAAAAATGTCTAACACTCTAATGTTTACTTATACCAACATCTCTTCGGAGTCGCGGAGAACCTAACGGGTTACCGGGGCTCCGGCTCGACGTGCAGGAGAAGGAACGGGGTGGATTTTAGTCAGTAAGAGTCTGACACTCCCTCCCGTCTCACCCAGGCGGGAGCAGACATCACATGATTTTCCACCCCTTAAAAAAATATCAACATCTCAAGCGGTGCAAAAAACATTTAACTAATTTCGTATAATTCAGTACCACATTCAGCTATTAATCAACTCAAATCTATGTCATCTTATATACCACATACTACATACATAATACACAAATTATTATGTTTTTCTGTTTTATCACGTTATTGGAAGAACTAAACTAGTTTCAAGCGGTTCTAGAAGCTCTTATTCGGAAGCAGCATTCCGCGATATAAAACACGGCAACTGTCGCTCTGCACATGACCTTTAACACTTACGTAACACACGTAATTACTTACTTACACGTACGTACACATTGACTTACCGTATTTACGTCTTGTTTCAGAATAATCATCGGCAGACACATGTTTTCACCGTCGTCGACGAAAGCGGCCTGGTGGCTGGCCACGTTTTTTAGTGTATTTGTAACAGGTATTTATGATTTTTTTTATAGCATAAGCTGGTAAACGAGCTGTCGGTTCACCTGATGGTAAGCAATCGGCCCCGCCCATGGACACTCAAAACACCAAGGCGTTACAAGTGCGTTACCGTCCTTTTGGGAATTGGGAATTTGAGGATTGTGGAGGATTCGGGGATTCGGGAGACAGGGACTAGGGAGGGGGTAATTGGGCCTCCGGTAACCTTACTCACACGAAGAAACACGACGCAAGCGTTGTTTCACGTCGGTTTTCTGTGAGGCCGTGGTATCACTCCGGACGAGTCAGCCCATGCGTGCCGAAGCATGGCTCTCCCACACTTTTCACTTTCTTTGCAAAGTAAACGAAATATTTTACGACTGACTGTTTCTGTCCCATCTTTCATGATAAAATAGCCATTTATTTCGAATCCAAGACCTAACCTGTACTCGATAGATAAAAAATAATACTGGTAATTTCACGAAACAAAAAGGACTGGAAGTGTATATAAATACTATGTGTTGTATAATATAAATTGAGGGATAAGTTTATCACACACTTCCAAAAGAAAGAGAAACAAAAGCGTTACATTTCAATCACTTCTAAATAGGACTAGGCAAAGATTTTAAGAGACAGAAAAAAAATCTCGAAAACAGCTTAACGATCTCATAAACCACAAAAATAAATTTAACACTAACCCACTAGTTCTACTTAGTATCAATGTAATATACCTGTATCGCCTTCTAGTTCCACAGGACCAAAGGCCAGTAATTCGCGTACAAGCTGCCCATAGCCCGGGAGAACTATACAAATAAATTCCACTCAGTCGACCTTTACAGCATGTAAGGGACCTAAGCTCACTGGTACATAATATATTTCTTTTTAGTCACTCTTTACAGAACTCTTTCGTTTTTCTAGTGTTGGGAAATGTGACTAGGGAGTATCTAGTTTTAATGTAGTCTCCTAGTTTAGATATTTGAATTAAAAATGGCTTAGAAATAATAAAGAGCTGTTGATATAATTGGTTTTCTATTTGCCAAGAATATAACAAAACTTTAATCACTTTTTCTACATAACAATAAAAGAACATAAGACGATTTTTATGTATATAAAAATACACAAAAAGACACATAAAAAAGGGTTCGATTGTCGTAATTTAAAACTATTCTAAATTATTATTATTATGTTCATGCATTTGATCAGATTTAAAAAAATATGCACTGTATATATATACACACGTAACAGGTTAAGGGTTAGAAAGTGATGAAGAACATCAGAAAACTCCATTAAGTCCGTGGCAGGAGTTACACATTGTGCCACTGCACAATGTAACACCTCCTTTTCACTATTTATGTTATGAGTCCTATATAATAGGGGGTTAGCCTATTGCCATATACCGGGCACAATTCCAGACTCCGTGCTACTACTGAGATTTTTTTGAAAACCTAGTAATACTTTGCCCGACCCGGGAATCGAACCCGAGACCCCTTGCCCGGCAGTCGCACTTGGCCGACGAGGCAGGCCACTTAAAATTTATAACTTTATATTCAAACATCTTATCAAGTTTTCATACTGTGTATAGTGTTTTCAACCAACAAAAATCACGTCTCGTCTCCGAAATCACGGCGTATGCTAATGGCAGTTTAGTAAGAAACCTTTCTCGACCCGCACCTGTTTCGAACAACACTTAGGTATTAACCCCTATTAGCAGAGTTTACTTGTTCCACTAAAACCGGTCCCGGTGCTACGTTACATTTTATCCAGACCCGGTAAACCCACCCTTATTTAGAGTACGCGACTAATACGGTGACTGTACCTGTGCGCTTAGATATGACCGCGGTAATGGATTTTATATTACGTAATTGAATTTTTGGGGATTAGAATGTAAAAATAATAATTAATATTGTATATTTTTATTTTAAAACAACAGCAATTTTTTTAACGCTAGCCTTTATAGATTTTAAATGATATTTCGTTCAGACTTTTTGTAAATCAATACATACTATAAAACAAAGTTGCTTTCGCTGTATGTCCGTATGTATGCTTAGATCTTTAAAACTACGCAACGGATTTTGATGCGGTTTTTTTTAATAGATAGAGTGATTCTTAAAGAAGGTTTGTATGTATATACATATTGCACCCGTGCGAAGCCGGGGCGGGTCGCTAGTTGTTTTATAAATTACTAGATTCTGCCATCGGCTATGTCCGTGTTGCCGTGGGATCAAAAATGGCCTATGTGTTATTTCCTACCATTACCTACTGTTCCTAATTTTAACTCAATCCCTTCATTTGTTTTGACGTGAAAGAATAAAAAACACACAAACACACATAGGTATAAACTTTCGCATTTATAATATTAGTAGGATAGTAGGATTATCAATGCAAAACTTAAGAGTGATAATCCCATAACTCCCCATAATCCAGTCTACAAACTAGGTCCGAGCATTAAAGTACTAAAAAATACAACAGCCAGATTTAGATCGTCGTTTATGTTAAGACTAAGGAGGATAATAAAAAGTTGTTAACAAGTTGCTAATTAAAGTATACAAGATACTTAAAAAGTTGTCAACACTTAAACTTTGCACTATCTTCCTGATAATCCTTGAACTTGTATAAGGGAAGATTAAGGATAAAAATACACCTTTTTCAACCTGTATACTGTTACGTGTGGTATATTTTATAGTAACTTATTTTTTTAATCTCATCAAACGCATGAACGTAGTAATTATTTAGGATAATTTAAAATTACTATAATTTAACCCTTTTTAAAAAATTTATGTGTCTTTTCCTTTTATTGTTAGGTGGAAAGAGTTATCAAAATGATATTTTGATAATTTATAAGTTTTGCATATAAAAAACCATTTGAAATAATTATTTTTCTACAATTGAGCATAAATCTCATCTTGCAGCTGCCAAGAATTTCAAAATCAATTGCCACTTACTAGTTGTAGAGAAGATAATTTCAGTATAATAACTCACAAAATATATATTTAATTAACAATTTCAACTTGATGCCTTTGAACTTATTGAAAAATTAACTTTTAAACGAAATATTAATTAAAGACCTAATCCTAGTATCAAACTGATATAACTTATGTTGTGACCGCTAGAGGGCGCTTAAGACAATTTGCGAAAATAATTTTTCATTTTGTGACATCGACAGGTTAATACTCGTGCCTGACTAAATTGAATATTAATTTATTAGAAAAGTGTTTGAGGCAGGCTAAGTAGTTCTTACAGGGACCTTGATGAAATTAAATTAATTGTTAATTAAGTAGGGTCGGGAGGTAACTTTCACTGAAAAAATATTAGCCAATATTGTCAGGCGTATTTAATAAGTTATTACACTTCAATAATGTAATTTTGTGGTTTCTTGTCATTTTGTTATCAATTATGGTGAATATTTTTACTAAAATATTATGTTGAGTTATAATTTTAATCTTTGAAAGACAAAGGCATAATGTACTTACTTACTGCAACTGGATCTTGTATGACCTCATTATTTTTAAATTATTAATAACTCTTTTTGGTTAGTTACCTACATATTAAAAATGGAATATTAGAACCCATATACAGTACGTCCTAAACCTGGGACTTATCACCAAGAACCGGGTAACAGCATCCTCTAAACCTCCGTAAACTCAACTACCAGGTTTACTTATGTACACAGGTACATGGGAGTGTCACTGTTCAGCTGCGGACATACTAGCTGAATATGATGAAAAATATTACTATCATCCTTATTATTTCAGGGGAAATGCCGATTCAAGCGGAACTGGAACCTGAATTTCTCCAGGCTCTGGAGAACCACACAGTCACACAAGGAAGGGACGTACACTTCACGTGTGTCGTCAACCATCTGTCTAATTATAGGGTAAGAAATATTTATTATTTTAAATATATATTTTAGAAGCTATATGTACCTAGAAATTACCCTCGAAGCTATAACGCTACATAACAAAGACGTAAGGTGCACTGTGCTCCGATACGCTCCCGCAACATAATTATAAATAAAATGTGTACACCATTTGATGTTTAATACGCTTAAAAGGTTTTAAACAATGGTTAGGTACTGCAGATAGATCTACAAGAAAAGTTTTTTTCAGTAAAAGAAAAACGTCCTATCTGACAGTTTGATTAGCTTCACACTAAAAATAGTATGTACATCATTACACATTTTTATTTCTTGGATACAATACACATTTTGAAGAGTGCATTGTGGTATATTGTTGGTTGAAAGGATTTGACACGGATTCAGAGGGGAAACTGAAATATCTTATAAAATCTCTGAAGGATTATCCTGAAAGAAAACTGGGGTACAAGACAATTGTTTGGTGAAATTGTTCTCAAACTTTGAGGCACACTTTCCTGTTGAGTTTTCTTTATGAAAATCTTACTTTTTTATATTGCCGTTTTATAACATTTAGGGAAAGTTTTTTGAGTGTGCATGCAATATTTCAGAATAGAAAGAGATTTTATAATGGAGATTTTATAAAATATTTAGAATATTTTTGACTCAAAAATCTATTATTTTTTGACAAATATTGAAGTAGGTCTTGTGGTTCTCTGACTTACATATGTAATCTACTCAAGATTTGTACTATTGAAATTAAAGTTTTATGTATTTGTTTCCCTTTATTACTCATCAATTCTCATCAAACACCTATGCTCTTTAATAAAGCTACTCTGTACCAATTATGTTAGTAGCGGCAAAATTACATTCTAACTGCCTATACATTTATTTACGTCTGCAATAAAAAAGCTGACGATAAACATGTGTGAGCTTGATGAGAGACAACAGGCTCTTGTGAAGCATATCTGTAACAAAAACCAACGTGCACCAGTTGTCTAGCGGAGCATGAAATAAGTGGTCCACACTCCGCTGCATCCAACTGAAATGTATACCATCCATCATAAAGTTTGTAATCTATGAAGGATTTTACACATCTACACTTGAAGATATTCCAGTATTCATGTTATAACTTGGCATTAAATGATAGTAGATGTAAATAATGGGACCGTCTGTAGAGGGCGCCCTTGACGGACATATGTCAACAAAATTGGCGATATATTAAAGAAAGGCAAAATTAAAAGTACTTAACTAACGATGAAAAGACTGAAGCGAAAGAGGTATGTAAGAATCGTAGCAATTGGCATTCCATAACGCCATACTTTGGTACTTACCTCGTCTCTGCCTACTCCATGGGATACTAGCGTGATGTTATAATTATATGTAAGATGCAGATAAAATATGATGAGACTTCAAACTTTCAAAAAAAAAAAACATTTAATTAAAGCGGGAAATATATTTGTATCACTGTTAGTGTCCATGGACTGTGTCAAGTGTCTAGTATCCACCAGTGCCCAGTGTCTAGTGCTCTGTGTCCAGTGTCCAGTGTCTGGTGTCCAGGGTCTAATATCCAGTGTCTAGTGTCCTTTGTCTATTGTCTAGTGTTCGGAGTCCAGTGCCCAGCGTCCAGTGTCCAGCATCCAGTGTCCAGTGTCTAGTGTCGAGTGTCCAGTGTCTAGTGTCGAGTGTCCAGTGTCCGTGAAAAGTAGACATTTGCCCTAATAAAAATGGTGCTGTTAACGTACAAACTCTTACTTATACTACTCTCACTTTATTACAATGTTACTAATCTTACTATAGAATAAGAAATATAAAGTAGGTACCGAATATCTGACAAAATTTCGCACTCAGTTATATTACTTATTCTAGCTAGCCACACTAGACTTCATTATTCATAATAAATCATTTTCAGTATAATAAAATTCACTTCCATTCACTTTACTCCTAAGTTGCAGTGAAATGTTAACTATATTCTAACGTTTCTCAAGGATAAAGATTAACATAAATAGGTTTTAGAGAAACTCGTTTCTACCTACTCCTTGGAAGTTTAAAAAGTGATGGGAAAATTTCCAGCTTATTTTTTATTAAAAAATGTTACTCTTCTACAAGTTCATTAGTCATTGAAAATGGTTTATTTAAAAAGTAAATTTCAATATTCGATATTAAATTACACTCTCCTAACAACATAACATCGCCTCTTTTATCCCTGAAGGGGTAGTTAGAGGTGCACATTACGGCACTTAATGCCACTGTACAATATAACACCAACTTTTCACTATTTATGTCATGAGTCCCAAGTAATAGGGGGTGAGCCCATTGCCATATTCCAACGCCCGACGGGCACGATTCCAGACTCCTTGCTTAGTAGCATGGAGTTTCGGGGATTCTCTTAGTAGTCAAAGATTTCTAAGCCCCAGTATTACTTTGTCCGAATCGAATCGAACCCGAGACTCCTTGCCCTGTAGTCGTAAGAACCTAACGAGTAACCGGGGCTCCGACTCGACGTGCAGGAGAAGGAACGGGTTGGTTTTTAGTCAGTAAGAGTCTGACTCTCCCTCCCGCCTCACCCAGGCGGGAGCAGTCATTTGATGATTTTCCCCCCTTAAAAAAAAAGTCGCACTTGCAACCACTCGGCCAACGTGGCAGTCTCTTAACAACCATACGAATGAAACCCCGTTAACAAGCTAGTCACCTAATTAAATCGTAATTGTAATACAGTGTCGTATGACGTCATCTGTCACATTGAACAGAACGTAATCTATTGGGGCAACTTGAGCGCACAGAATGCCAACATTCATCTTAATAGACGAATGATTAAGTACCTCTGTTAACTGCTCCAGACGTTTAGTTACCTGTAAAATGGTTAGATTAAATGTTATAAATGGTTATTCTTTATTGATCTAGTGAATGGGACATATTGTTAATACGGTATCATATCTTTTGTACTGATTTTGTTCTTGTATTCTTGTTTACTTTTATTTCATTGAGTATGAAAATCATCGCCCTGAGATATGCTGAATTAACTAAAAATTACGAGTTATGTTAATATACTGAGATAAAGTCTACTACTTCTACTAGTTTCGACTCACAGAGGGACTCTTCCTCGTGAGCAACGTACGCTGGTCGCGGCGATGTCGCGCAGCTTACTGGAGCCAGTAGGCGAACTTTTCTCAGTATATTTACGTGAATAAATCGTAATTTTTTGTTAATGAAAATTAACAATTTATGTACCAACACACATATATGTTCTAATAACTTTGGTTACTATACTCACGTATTTACTCCGTTGATTTAGCATGGCACAGCGCAGCAACCGAGAATATATTTTCCTCCAATATGATAATTCTTAAAACATGTCAAAGCCAGCTCCATCACACTTTAGCTTTCTTTAAACTCATGCAAATACGTATATAATTTTTCATGCCATGCATGATAACCCTAATTAGTCATTATGCCAGCAAAGCGTTTCATGTAAAACGAACTAAAATCACACGAAAGCCACTTAAAATTGTAACAAGTTCCTTGAATTTTCACCCTAATATGTTAAAGGAACTGACAAAGAATATGATATGAGGAAAATCATAGTTAACCTTAATGGTTTCTCTTATAATTAAGACTTACAGTTCGTTAGTAACGCTTTGAGCTATGAAATTCAAATGTTAGTAAAATAAAGCGTAATTCTGCAGTTCCTATTGTCCAGCAGCAATAAGGTTCCTATTGCAGAGGCCGTAATAGTTTGGATCAGTACTGCAATTTAAAGTATTTTTTAAGATTATTTGGTGTTATCGTCTGTTATTTGCGGATTGTAAGTCTAAACATATTTAAATTGCATGCAATAACATAACAAGTTACAGAGATTTCTACTACAGTAAATATTAAACTACAGTGAGAAACACCATTTTTAAAATAAATATTGACGAGAAGCAGCAATACCTACTTACATTCATTAAAAACAGTAACAAGTAGCCTTTAAATACAAAAACTGAAAACAAATCCACAGCTAATTAATGCGCTCATTAACTTTTAAACTGGCAAACCGCGGAACATAAATCATGTCTATAACTCAAATGGAACAGTATGTAAACATCTAACTATGAAAGCTTGTACTCACAACAAAAAGTGGTAGTTGCGACAAGTGCTCGCATTCAGCCGGCAGCACTAGCCGCGCTTACGCTGAAACTCGACGGAAATAATTCTCACAAACAATGAAATTGTTACTAATTTATTTTCCAACCACAACAAAGCGAGATGTCACATGAAAAATGCTCGGGTGCGACGCGGATGAGACACCGCGCATTCCTCCCGCGAAACTCTCCACAATTTCACGTGTCGTACCCTCAGTTTTACATTTGCTACAGCGTTTAAGTCACATTAAGTTTCGTCTTCACTGTGAACAATACAAACGATTTAAAACTCGCGAGAGCTCCGGGGAAATGCGAGCGATTTATGACATTAATCCTAGATATAAAATGAAATTTCACGCTTGTATGCAACCGTACAGAACCGTTTTGTTTCGCAGACACCCGCTCTAATTGCATTGTTAAATTTAGCTTCCGAGCGTTTCAAATGTTCTTGACTTTGATTATAAACTTCATAATAGCGTTTCTGTTATAAAAATATGTACAATAAGTATATATACTGCCTCTGTGTCAACATGAAGCCAATTCTGTCTGTATTGTCTCGTCGTCAATATTTATATTGTCGCTACCGATTATAAGGAATCCAATAAGGCTTTGATCGAACTGTGAAATAATGACAATATTATTTTTAGGTGGCGTGGATTAAGTCAGACTCGAAGGCGATTCTGGCTATACACACGAATATGGTGGCGCTGAATCCTCGGTTGAGCGTCACTTACAACAACCACAATACGTGGAAGTTGCACGTAAGCAACGTGCAGGCCAACGACTCTGGCACCTACATGTGCCAAGTTAACACAGACCCTATGAAGAGTCAGGTAAGCTACACTTTGTCGCATACAGACGTCTGACTTTACAAAGTAAGAAGTTATTCCGTAGAGAACGCTCCAAAACTTAAATGTTACATTTCAAGATAGCATTTGTTTCGTTTAAAAGAGAACGCTACCGCTGTGAACATAACGATAGTTGTGAAGTATTGTAACAACAAGGAGCGTTCAATCAAGCAACGAGTGCAACAAGCACTTATTTCATTTTCCAATAAATTATAATGGAATTCTCAGTAAGGGCGAGTGAACGCCTGATTAAGTGTTTCGCAGAAATCAATAACAGTGAACTTACAACAGAACATAGTAGATCTTTGTAGAAATAAGAATTCCATTCTTCTGCACGTACTGTTTCTTCGAGAATTTGTAATAAGTATTAATTTATTCGTGGTATTGAACATTATTTCCTTAATAACTCTAAACTGTTCTAGTTGCATGACCTAAATAAGAGTGAGTATCCTGACAAAATAAACAGTGTATTTGACAACGAAGTAAAGTAAACCAAGAGCGGGTATTACATCTAACTAGTTACGGCGATGGCGTCAAGGATTATACAGCGGTTTATTTTACTTTTCAAAGCGCCCCGGCTAGGTTTATTCATTTTACATTAAATACATGATGTAATCCTCTCCAAATATTTAAGCACGTAATTACCTCAAAACGCGAGCGATGAATTTAGGTGTTTATCAAATTAGGGCGAAATTAATTTTCACCGCAAACTCAATATCAATTGAATTTATGAAATTAGTGTTTGTGTTTGTATAGATGGATAAGTATAATTTGTTGTGATTAATTAAAATTATGATTGATTTGATTAAATATGGCGGTTATGCGGTCTAAACTGCAAATACCACAGTATGTGGTCTCACCTATTTTTTGAATCAGTTTTTAACCAATAAGAGGTTAAACTTGACCTCTGAATCAGTATTTTATACTATATGATCTAGTTTGTGACATATATTATGAGAATAACACAAAAAAATCCTGTACCTTTTTTCTAAGAAATATACATGCAAAAAAAGATTACTTAAAACCAACTAACACAAAGTCCAATTTTGTACTATCCCTAATCTCACGACGCCATTGCCAACAAAACAAAAGACTCCACTAATAAAGTGTAACAAGGACAATTATTTTTGTCAGATGGGTCATTTATCCGTGGTGATCCCGCCGGACATAGTGGACAGTGTGACAGAGGGTAGCTCGGCACAAGAGGGCGGGAGTATAAGATTGACGTGCACCGCAACAGGGGTGCCGCCGCCGACCGTGTTGTGGCGACGGGAGCACAACCGACCCATAGTGTTTAGACACGATGGTGGCAGGGAGCGAAAAGGTGAGCTCATGTCATGTTTTAGTTTTTACTTTTTACTTTCAGGTTGATATTTTTCAAAGGATGTTTTTAAATATTTTTGTATGTTGTAGTGTTATTATGGTTGAGATAGTCCTTGAAGGTTACGTAATATTTTATTCTGAGCATACATTGGGTTGTGAAGCTGCAGACATTGACTGAAGAATTCAGAGCGGTCTTTCTCAATGTTTGAGTGCTCAAACATTGTAGTTCTAGTATTCTTATTTATTCTTCTTAAGGGCAGTATATTTTACTTAAACGTTAAAAAAAAGTATTTTTCTAACAAATCATTGAGGTGACGTTATATAGGCTACCTACTACACAAAAATAGAAAAATAAATATCATAAATAAAGAAATCACTTATAGTCACCATTAAATCTTACCGAAATATCAAATGATTTTAACATGGTTACTACAAATTTAAGTAACGGTCTTTCGTAATAATAATGTAACAACGCTATTTATAACTATTTTCTCTTTTTATTTTCTGTGAGCACTGTGGGCATGGCTGTTAATCCGACGGCTGAAACTACATTAAAATAATATTTACGTGTGAAATTGGAAACGGTGAGTGAGGATAATACCATTCAGTGTCCATTTCGTAATTAGGTACGAGGCGAGAAGTAATTCATATTGATATTGGTTTATTAATATTTTTTATTTAATTATTTATTTACCCTTCTTGTATACAATTGCGGATTTAATGCCCAGTGGCATTCTCTAACAGTCAACCTTAGGGTGATGCAGAGAGACACAATAGTAGGTGTAAAAGTTTAACACTGTTGTGAGTTTTGATCTTACATTGACATGTAGATATATATAATACTATACTAATTAAATATAATGAAGAAGTATTAAAGTATATACTTAATGCAAAACGAACAGTAGACAAATAAGTATGGGACATATATACATATATTAAAATATTTAAAAATCACAACAATTGCTAAAATTATCGAATTAAGTTTTAACAACTCTGTGGTTTAACCGATAGGTACACTATATTTAAAGACATATTTTGATATAGTTTTATAGACGGTAAAATCTAATTTGTATTAGTGCCGAAATAAAATGGTTCTGTCTTTGGCAATCATCATTATCATAATCAACAGCCGAAAGAAGTCCAATACTGGACAAAAGTCTCGCTCTTAGTAAGTGTCTTGGCAATACAATAGTTTTACAAAGAAATAAAATGTTTCAAACTAAAAATAACTAGTTAACCGTGAAAGAGGTGTACCTTACGGTATTAATGCCATTGTACAATGTAACACCCACTTTTCAATATTAATGTTATGAGTCCCATGCACTAAAGGGTGAGCCTATTGCCATATACCGAACACAATTTCCCCCATAATTGACCCCGTGCTAATACAGAGAATTAAAAAAAAAACAGTAATCTTTGACTGAGACCCCTTGCCCGGCAGTCGCACTAGCGACCGTTCGGCCAACGAGGCAGTCGAGTAACTACTCAAATGTTTATAATAATAGATAGGTGTCGACCTATCTATAGGGAAATATATTTGAAATAAATCCATTTAACACATAGCACTTTCATTCCGTAATTGTAATTAGGCTTTGTAACGTGTTAACAATAAATGGATCTGTCAGTCAGGCAATACAATTCAATTTTGAACTGATCATTAATAAAATTGTGTGCTACTGAAATTATGATAATTGTTACATAACTTGTATGTACTAACTAACTTATTTATTGTATAGCTTTAGAAAATTATTTGTCTCTGTTCGAGTTATCTACTTCACAACTTAATCACGTTTGCTGATTCCAAAAATGCAGTCCCTACTTTTTTCAGGTATGATCTCAATATTATGTTTTGCCTATTGCCATAATATATAGGGCACAATTCCAGACTCCGTATTAAAAAATCCAGCAATACTCTGCTCGACCCGGGAATCGAACCCGAGGCCCCTTGCCGGACCGTTGGCCACACGACCACTCGGCCAACGAGGTAATCAGCCCACCCTCTGTTACACATGGGACTTATAACATGAAATAGTGAAAAGTGGGTGTTACATTGTACAATGGCATTAAGTGTCTTAATGTACATCTCTACTTACCCCTTCAGGGACAAAAGGCGTGATTAAGTTCTACTAATAAGATAAAGCAAGTTTTACTATTAAATATACACCACGTTCTGTTCCATTCGGATGATATTTTCCAACATTGAGTTTTTGAGTGAAAAACAAAAATGTAAAAAGAAAAACATGCACAGTTGAATTTTCAAATAAAATATTAATTTCGAATTAACACCATCTCGGGAAGATATGAAATACACTCAATCAGAACGAACACAAGTTTAATGTTATTAAAGACAGTGCAAGTGTCATGGCGACCGCGTCTGTGGTCGGAAGTAATCAACAGTCTGTATTGTGGTGCATAATGAACTCCAACTTCATGGTTGCTCTTACTCAATATCATATTTGCATACTACTCGACTAATTACTTGCGGATACTATTATTAAATTTTGAGAATTTACATTATTATGTATAGTTAGGTTACTTGTAAGTTATTTGTCTTATCAGATATGTCGTGGTGGCCCGGAGGTTTAAGACGCCCGCTTCTCATTAATGAGGGCGCCGTTTCGAAACCTACCAACGGGGCTAGTAACAATGTGACTTTTTCCGAATTATATGTACTTTCTAAGATTATTTAGACACCACTGACAAACGGTAAAGGAAAAAATCGTGGACTTATAATTTCTAATTATAAGTTTGAAATCGCCAACCCGTAATGAGCAAGCGTGGTGATTAATGCTCAAACCTTCTCCGTGTGAGAAGAGGCTTTGCTCAGCAGTGGGCATGTAATGGCTCTTGATGATGATGATGAAATTATTTGTGTTACGTCGCATGTAAGTGTGATGGTAAAAGCGATGATTTTGAAATTTATATGTTAAGTTCAGTATATCATTATTCTGCACTTCGGTGTCCGAATGTTCTTTCATAGAATACGAAGCGTCATGTCGCATTATATCCTAAAATTTAGAAAATTGTGTTATTTTCAATTTTTAACTTTCTTATACAGTTATACGTAATACCTACAGGTCAAGTTATTGGCTTAAAACAAACAGAAAAAAAAGACTGAAATGAAATTAAAACAACGGACAAAAAAAATTTATTTAATATAAGCGACTCTATTAGTTAAACGAAGAAGACAGTGGAAATTACTTCGGAGTTTGTCGCCACTTTTGTATAAAAGCAAACACGGACTTTTAAGTCTTAGATTAAATTACCAGGTCGACTAAAAGTGTTAATAGTTTTGTCTGGAATTTTATACAGTAAAAGCGTGACGGCCGTATCAGAACGATCCTTGCTTCTTGCTTAAATATTCATAATGATACCTAACAGCACCAATGTAGCAATTAGAATACAGACACGCCATTTTCAGTATTGGTAGTCTACGAATAATGGGTATAAAAATCAAAAACAATAGTAGCGATTTTGGCATCATCAGTAATGTTTACTTCCAATAATTTTGTAAAAGAAAATAGTTTCTAATGTGATCTTTATTGAATACAGAAACATGCTTATATAACCAATGGTTAAGTAATCAATATTTTCCTTTGGTTCAATGAAAACCAGTGATACTATCCTGCAGCCTGGAACCAAAAGAAGAACTAGTGTTTAGTATAACTTGACCAGACGTTCCGTTTTGAACGGGATTGTCCCTTTTTATAATTACGAGTAGGATTGCATCGTTGGCCGAGTGGTCGCAAGTGCGACTGCCGGGCATGGGGTCTCGGGTGTGATTCCCGGGTCGGGCAAAGTATTACTGAATTTTTAAACAATTCTTAGTAGTAGCACGGACCCTGGAATTTTGCCCGGTATATGGCAATAGGTTCACCCCCTATTACATGGGACTCATAACATAAATAATGAAAAGTGGGTGTTACATTGTACAGTGGCATAATGTTTACCTCTGCCTTCGCCTTCGGGGATAAAAGGCGTAATGTTATGTGTATATATGCATAATTACGAGTCCCGTTGTTCCCAAAATGAAATCTGGGATGCAAAATGGTCCTGTTTTCGGAAAAAAGTGGTAAATATTCAAATAATACAGAATTATTTTCGGCATTACCTCTACATAACTAACTAATAACATAACTCATTAATTTATGACGGAGTAAAGTCGAAAATATTATAAATACCGTAAATATTACAATTACATTTTTATTCAGTAATAATGTTAACCTTATTGTTGCGAGGCACAAAGTGCTTAGTATATACAATGTCTATATTAGGATACAGCTAACACATGCCTGACTGAATCTAAATGTTGAATCAAAAAAGGTCACCTCAGTTTAGTAGCAAATATTGTACATACCTATAAGACCACCTAATGCGGCTCGAAACTAGTAGAGATTTTCACAGTATATTCACGTTAGTAACCCTCGATTTTTAGTTAAGTTAGTACCTATGTCTCAAGATAGTTATTATAAAAGCAGGGCTATATTTATAATCAACGAGGAAGTGAATTAAATAATCGGGCTAGCAAACAGTTTTATGATAAAAACTCTTCCACAAAGTTTGCAGCTTCGTTTACATTAATTTATAATAGCCGTGCTTTGAAAATACAAACTCTTTTTTGATTTTTATTATACAAAACTTCTGTTTGAACTCATCAACGATTCGCATTTATGCTCACATTTTAAACTGCAATAACTTTTTATATTTTCTTTTTATTAAATAAATAATATAATAGTATTAACAAAAATACGTTTAATGGAATGGTTGTAAAAGGGGATCTGTTCAAATGTAACAAGGTTCATTGTTGAGTGGTGAGGTGCAGACGAAGTGCATCGAATGACTGTAATAGCTTGGAAAATATCGTGATTTGTACGTTTCCTATTTCCTTACTTGCTGGTAATTTTAAATAGGATTCACGTTTAAGTAGACACGTCTTGAAGCCAACGAACAATTTGTTTAATAGTTGTTGAACACATTTTTTACTTTAAATTTTATTCTTGT